CCAGGGCAGGTCAAGTCGCGTTGCATCAGATTGATTTCCTAAACCATTTCAAATGAGGTTATTTATGTGCACTGTTTTCTGTAAGAGGACATTAGATTGGGTATAAGTTGCAGTGCAACTAGCATAATTTTTGTTTGAGGGCCATGTGCAGCAATACTCAGGGGCTACTTCCTGACTAGGTACTCAGGGATAGTTCCTAGCAGTACTCTTGGATCATGCAATTCTGAGGATTGTACCCAGACCTCCTTCATGCAAATCATACATACAGCTTGTAGTGCTGTCTCCCTGGCCTCCTCAAATAACATTTTAATTTTCCAACAGGCCTTGTAGGAATAAAGTCCAGATCCCCGGGAACAACCAACTGCTGAAGAAATGGATCTAAATAATGCCTCACTGGATGTTCCCCTAATGTTCCTCTAATCAAATAAACATTATTTGATCACTTAGTAGTTCGAATCTTCCTTCAACTCCCTGAATCAGTTTATTCATTTCTAAAGTGAGAAGAGAGGAAGAAGAAGAGAAAGAAGGGGAAAAGGAAGAGGAAGTCAGAGGGAGAGGAGGAGGGAAAAGGAAAGCAGGAAAAAAGAAAGAAGAAGGGGAGGTAGAAGCATAAGGAGGAGTTCTTTATAAAAATAAAGGGAAGTAATAGCTTAATAGTGATGGTGCTAGAAATCACCCCATCTGATGTTAAAATGTTCAGAGGAATGAATGAAATCTGCCCTCATCTAAGCTATGCTTGGAACTTAGTTCATTTGTTTTACTTCATAATAATAGCCAAGAAACTTTTTTGCACCTGAAATTTTTCCCAGGACACATAGAAATAATAATTCACTCTAATAGTTCCCACAAGTAAGACCACCTCAAAGGTCAAAACTAGGTGTGTCATCAGTTGACTTCAAGATAATGAACTGGAAATATCTCGAATAGGTCACGATTTAAACCACTTCTAGGCCAGGGATATAGCTCAGTGATAAAACATTTGCTTTGCACATCTGAGGCCCAGCACTGGATCCCCGGCACAGAAGAAAGGAGAAAAAGGAGAAGCAGGAGGAAATTAAGGAGAAAAAGGAGGAGGAAAAGAAGAAAAAGGAAGAGGAAAAAAAACGTAACATGATTTTACAAACTCTATGAATAATTTTATTTACCCAATCTGTATTAGACTGAATTTCAGGATTTCTTCCTACACAAGCAAATACGTTGAAGCAATCCAGAATTTCTAGTCTGGGGGATCCATTAAGATCAGTGTGGAGTATGTAATTCTGATAAAAAGAAAAGGCCTGTCTCTCTCCCCCACCCCACCCACACACACACCTCTGTCATCCTCCCTATTAATGATACCCTTTAGTTGGTACTGCCAAGGTAACTTATTTTTACTTGGGGAAATAAAGCTTCCCCAAATGACTTCCCAAAGTTTTCTAGTAAATATGAAAAGAAAAAAACTTTAGGAAAATTTCACTAATTGAATAGCTATAGTGCCTTTTATAAAATAATTTTTTCATACCAATCTTTTGCTCCTCCTTCTCCATCTTTTTGAAGTTGAACTCTTAGAAGTTCCAGGATTCCTAAAATAAGGAGTTTATAATTTCAGAAACTTCATTTGTGCAGGCATACTTGCACACACATATGAACGTGTGTATACCCACACACACACATGTCACACACACACACACATACACACACACAATCCTACTTTGTGGTAATACTGAAGATAAATTTTCTAAAGCATTTCCTCCAAATGTCAATTTCTGGACATTTCTAAAGGAAATAAAAACTATGGAATGTAAACTTTACTTGAAAAAGATAAAATAGCTTTAAAGATTCTCTTGAGAATACATAGTCTGAACAGTACAATCTGTACCAAAAACCTGTACACTCTCTTATTTTCTTATTTCAACTAAAAAGAGGGACAAAAGCATATCATCCCTGAAGCATCAGACTCTTATCTCCTCTCTCTCTCTCTCTCTATCAGACTCTTATCTCTTCTCTCTCTCTCTCTCTCTCTCTCTCTCTCTCTCTCTCTCCATCTCTCCCTCTCTCCTTCTCTTTCTGTCTTTCCTGAATCACTAAATAGTTTACAGACATGCTATTTAATTTCATCTTTGATAATCTTGGCTCATTTTTTCAAGTTTTACCTTTTACTTTTTATTTATTTATTATTTTACAAAGCTGTTCATGATTGTGTTTCAGTCATACAATGTTCTGACATCCATCTCTCCACAACTGTAATTTCCCAGCACCAGTGTCCACAGTTTCCCCTCCCACCCCTCCAAGCCACCCCCCCCCCCATCCCAGCTTGTCTCTATGGCAGGCACTTCTCTTTTCTCTTTCTCTCTCTCTCTCTTTTTAGGCATTGTGGTTTCCAATACAGATGCTGAAAGGTTATCATGTTGAAAGTAGGTAAAGGAATATACTCGACTCATTTTTTAAAAATCAATGCCTTATTCTGAATGTGTTTTCTTTGCTTTCAATTCATTTCCTCTTTTTTTTTAAATTAAGGCCTCTCTATTCAAACTCCCAGAGGTACCATTAAACAGAAATATATAGCACTGTAGGACTGTCCTCCCATTGCATTGATTTGCTCGAGCAGGCACCAGTAACGTCTCCATTGTGAGATTTGTTGTTACTGTCTTTGGCATATCGAGTACACCACAGGGAGCTTGCAGGCTCTGCCATGAGGGTGGGATACTCTCGGTAGCTTTACATAGAAATCACGATCACGATCACGACCACCCTGTTGTTCGTCGATTGCCTCGAGCAGGTGCCAGTAACGTCTTCTTCATCCTAGCCCTGAGATTTTTTTTAAAAGTGCCATATTCAAAGCTTTTTCAGGGTTAGGAGAATGAGACCCATCATTGTTACTGGTATTTGGCATATTGGGTATACCACGGGGAGTTTGCCAGACTCTGCCGTGTGGGTAGGTTACATTTGGTAGCCTGACAGTTTGACCAAATTAGGATGAGATGATAAGATGTCGCGTGGCCGCGTCCGCACGCTACCGGGAGCTGAGTGTGATAATCTCTGGATCCTGGCCGTTGTTGGAGTTACACGGCAGTTGGTGGGTGTAACTGTCTAGTTACTGGCAGGTCCAGTCCCAAACCGTGCAGGCTTGGAGATCTCAGCCCCGAGTCCCACAGACCTGGGTTCCTCTGCCAGTTCTTTTATGCGTGAGGCTCATCCAAGTGTGTGGAGAGTGGTCCCAGCATGGCCTTGACTGGGCCCTGGTGGTCTTCAAAATACAAAATTTCTATAGTATGTTACATAGAAATATACTTACCAAATTTACCAGTGATCTCTACATTCAGTGGATATTTTCCACAACACACCTAATTTAACAGCCTTCATTTGACATAACACATCTGTCCTTGAAATACTTTCTACCCTTGGCTTCCAAGGTATCTTCTGGTCCCAGGTTTCTTTCCTATGTACTTGCTGTTCCTTGGAAAAACAAATTTTTTTTGGAAGATTTTATCCCCCTGAACTTTTAGCCTTCACATACTTGAGGCTCTGATTTACTCTTTTCGATTCATATTCAGTTACTTGGTGATCTCATCTAACCTTATCCCTTTTAATATCATTCCCAAATACTTGTCTCCTGTCTAGTCCTCTCTCTCTGCTTCTCGATCTATTCAAAGTGCCTTCTTGTCCAGAATGTGAATAAATATTTCAGTTACAGCATTTCCAATACCTACCTCCTGATTTTAACCCTCAAATCTGCTTTACTTGCATCTTTCTCATCTCAGGCACTGCTGAGGACATTACCCTTCCAAGTTGCTCAAGCTATAATGACTCTTTTTCGGTCTCAGAACTTATCCTTGCAAACAGTATATTCTTGACTATAACTTCAGAATATAGACAGTATCTGACACTGTTTAAACATGGAATTACCATCTCCTTTCTATCCATCCTCATCACCTTGCTTAATTTTTCTCTGTAGAACTTTACACTTTCTACCATATTATACAATTTGCTTGCTGATTATGTCTACAGGGACTCTTTATAAGTGAAAATATAGGCTTTGAAGAAATGGACTGCTTCCTGTTATTTTGTTACCTTATCCTTCCAGTCTTGTAGAGGTTAGGGCTGCCAAATAAATAATGGGATGAATGAATGAATTCATGACGGTATGGTAATAAACCTCCAGTCTTAAATACATTTTTATTAACAACCGATAAGTCTTATTTTTACCTCTGTTATTTCTATTTTACAATCTCCCCAACACAATGTTTTATTTCTGTATTATTCTGCATGTCTCACTTTTCAAAAAAAATTAAAACCATTTAAAAGTATTCAAAAACAATTAGTGACTATTGATAAAATTGAATTTATATTTTGTGGAAAGAATATACTGGGATTCTAAGAGATGTGGTTATTTTTCTCGCATCATATCTAAAGGAATAAAAACCTAGCAAAGTTGTTTCCCAGTTTTTCAAAAGTTCAGGGTACATCACTTTACCCTTATGGGAGAACTTTATATGTGGTGCTGGGGTTTGAACCTCGTATGTGTGTGTGTGTTCTTTGTTGATTGTGCCCACACAGTAGAATGCTCTTCTATTTGTTAAATGCTCTCTATCTTACCCATTCTTCACACTAACCCAAGTGCTCCCACCTTTTCATGTTCTTTAGATCTTAACAATCAAAAGTCTTTCTTGCATCTTTGCATGGCAGTTTTTAGGTATTTGCCTATCATAGGCTGCATTCCCTTTCATGATGCAGTGTAGATTTTTGTCTATCTACATTTTTCATTATTAGTGGCACCATCATATAGAGCAAGGACCATGCCTTGTTTATTTTTATTCATTCCATGACGTGCCAAGCAGTAAATTAGTATTCAATCATGGAATGAAGCTGAAAAAAAGCATTGAGTATATTAGTCTCATGTTTATATTTAGATGTACCACGAATACATAAGAAAAAGTAGTATTTGAAATCACTTTCTTTTAATAATTTCTGTAACAAAATAGATTTAAGAGTGAGGGATCTTTGGCTAGCTCACTTTAAAGGTCAAAAGCCATGACCTCAGAGTAACCATGGTAACTTGGCATAAACAGTACAAACCATTGTTTATCATAATCGAGGGGGAAAATCTCTTCAAAATTCTATTAGCCACAAGAGAAAACTAATTAGAATGAGCAAATGTATTTCACTTATGAAACCTGTTTTGTACATAGCGCTTTCTTCAGGATTAAGAGAAAAACTAGAAAAATTCTTTACGTTTCTTTCAATAGAAAGTAATAATTAAACATATTAGCCTTTCCAGTGTTTGGCAGGAGTACAAACACACTATTCAAGTGAAATGTCTGTCTTTCCTCAAAACTTTTTTCCTCATTGTACAGATAATTTTAATTTATAATTTTATAACACTCATAATTTTAACTGCATTATCTACCTTATATAATTCTTTAATGATACAATAGAATTTTTATTGTTCTTGGGACATCTACATTTTCCTCTAAATGAGACTAGAGAACTAAAATTTGGAAAGAGATAAAAGAAAAGAAAACCCTAAGATTTTATCTGGGAATTTAAATACAAACCCATTTTCATCACATATATCTGGTACTGTGACATTTTCCCCTCCACTTTATTCAAACACCATAGTTTGCAAATTTGTTCATGATGATTTGTTATAGGCATTTAATATTTCAACAGCAGTTCCACCACTACTGGTCACCACCGCTCCCTCATTGTCTCCATTTTCCCAACCACTCCTTCAAGCTTGCCCCTGTAGTAGGCCCACAATTTATTTTATACTGCCTGTTACCACTAAACAGCTAGTAGAATGATCATAAAAGGTTATTTATGTGGATTTGGAGTAGTCACCAATTAGTTGATATAGAGCAATGTATTTAACAAAATTCACTGGGGAATGTAAGTGTCCAGTTCTTCAAGGAGAAGCATCCATGGGAAAATGCATTTTAAAAAAATGTTTTACATAGACTAATTGCATCCAGGGCCTAACTTTCCTTTGCTTAGACAACAGAGTATCAAGTTCCCATTTGGTTTATATAAACTGTTGAGTAGGTCTGCCTCAAGGGCATGAGAAGAGAAGAAGAGGACAAGCAGAAGGGACAGCAGACCCAGGGGATCAGTTTGTTCCTGCTTCAAGGTTAAGTAGCAGCCTGGAACTCTTTTGAAACCTGACCAAGGTAGCAAGGTGACCCACTGTCTCCTTCCTCCGATCCCCACTCTCTGTTTGGGCCCAATACTCAATCCCATACCCCAGAGAGGGAGCCACAGAGAAAATTTACAGTGAGAGGAAAGTCTGGCTTTCTATTTGGTTTCCCTGCTAGCTGTTCACCGAGGTATTCATTACAAGGTTAAGCACCAGGGTCTTTTCCTCTATTCATTCACATTCTGTTCACCCCTTCAAATGTTGGCACAGTAACATGTTACTTCATTTGGTGCTGCATTCGGGGTAATGTAAAGAATATAAATGATTGCCAAATTTCATTTTTTTTTTTTGTGCTTTGGGGCTACGCACAGTGGTACTCAGGGATTACTCCTGACTTTGTGCTCAGGGTTCATTCTTGCCAGTGCTCAGGGGATCCTTTGTGATGCTGGTGACCAAACACAGTTAATTGGCCATTTGCAAGGCAAGTACCTTCTCTGATGTGCTATCTCTTAGGCCCCTAAATTTTATGTTCTGAAGCAGTAAAAAACGTCTTTCTGGAGAGAGGGTACGGAAGGTAAGGCACTTACTTGCCCTGTATGTGGCTGAACTGTTTGTTTCCCTACCACATATGGTTCCTTAGGTACAGAACAGAAGGAGCTCCTGAGCTGGGTATGTTCCCAGACCAAACAAAGCATAAAAACAGGAAATCTAAACATTCTTTTCTCCCAAATATTACTTTTTTGGACCCCTGGATTTCTTTGTACATAGAAGCATTTCATATAAAATAGACTGGTGATTTTCTCATATCATACATAGGCCATAAAAACTGAGGTTAAGAACAAATAAACATAAAGACCACTCATTTCATGTAAGGAAAACGTTTTTAAGCTTGGCAAGACAGAATTAGTTACCTGCGCTTATATCACAGAGGACACCGCCCTAGCATGCAGTTCCTTCCAAAAAGGTGGTGTGGTCCTCTCAAGATTTAAAAGAAAATTTTAATTGAAAGAAAAAATTCTGCATTTGAAGGGAAAAGTCACATTTTCCAGTGATAACACAAGGTGAGATATGGACATAAATCTTACATCAATATATGTAACCATAGTTGGTTTGGGCTTTTGTTTCAGAAGAGCTGGAATGACCTAGCCTCCTTTCCTGGCAAGGGAGCTGTGAAGATAACATTTCATTAAAGTGTTTCTGAAAAGGAGAGGACACAACACCCCCATCCCAAATAAGTAAATGGCTAAGGTGAGAGTGTGTCTTTGGATGAGGGATCTTTCTCAACAAATACCTACTGACCATATGCCATGTGTCAGGTCCTGCCCTATGATCTGATAAGACAGCAACATTCAAAGGAAGAAGCAGCATTGAAAGAACTCTAGGAAAAACCTGGCTGAGGTTAAACTCAGACTTTTAAGAGATGATTTCTTTTGAAAAATGAGTGATGGCTACTTTATCTACAAATTATTTCTAAATTCTTTCAGAGTAAGAGAAATTGGAAACTCACACGTTCTTCTCTGGAGTCTCAGACTTTGAAGATGGAAACTTTTTACTGAAACACTGTCCCATTGTAAGCCAGGTAAACATAATCTAACTAACCACAAAGATAACCACCTACTCGCCACAACTCTTAGAATTTTCAACTCCCTTATATAGCTTGCCCATCCCCTGTTGCTAGGCAACTACTAAGACTAGAGAAAGGACAGTTAACTCTCCAAAGGGAAAAATTTTAAAACCACAGTATCACTATAGCACTGTCCTCCTGTTGTTCATCAAGTTTCTCGAGCAGGCACCACTAACGTCTCCATTGTGAGACTTGTTACTGTTTTTGGCATATGGAATATGCCACAGGGAGCTTGCCAGGCTCTGCTATGTGGACGAGCTACTCTCGGTAGCTTGCTGGTCTTTCTGAGAGGGATGGAGGAATCAAACCCGGGTCGACCATGTGCAAGGCAAACACCCTCCCGCTGTGCTATTGCTCCAGCCACAGTAACCCCTCAAAATATCTCACAAATCAGATCCAGGCATTAGAACAGATGACGCATCTTAACATAGTCATCATTTCTAGAAAAGCCATTCAAAATGAGCCAGAAGCAGTGGTTTAATGCTCAAACCATAGTTTTTACACCTCAATCTGGTGTTATGGAGCAGTCTGATTATTTGAGAGGGATTCATATACAGAAATAGATTGATTTACAGACTAAGTAGTGGTTTTCTTTGTTTTGTTTTTGCCATACACACTCCATTGATCAGCTCTCTCTGTGGCACTGCAGGTCCCAGACAGAATATACCACCTAGCCATTTCCTAATTAAGGCAACTTTGCTGGCAGTTTCACAGATATGAGAAATGCTACTGATCAGTTAGTATTCTGCCTGCTGCTCCAACTCAGCTGCTATTCTTTTCCCCTGTTGCTTGTCTGAATCATCCTTCACTTTGTCCAACTAGTTGCCTCATTTCTCCCTGGATTCATTCCAGGATCATTTCACTCTGCTTCTTGTTCTTATAGGAAGTACATGTAGGATATCTAAAATGCAGATATGGGTGTGAGAAGATATCTGGCCACATCTGTTACATTCAGGGGCTATTCCTGCTCTGTGCTAAGGGATCACTCTTGAAAGTTCTCAGGGGACTATATGTGATGCCGGAGACTAAACTGGACTCAGCCACATGCTATGCAAATGCCTTTACTCCTGTACTTACCTCTCTGCCTCTATATCTAAGATTTAATACCTTATGTTCTGAACTCACCATAATACAGCTCATATCAAAATAAACTAGATTGGCATGTCAGCAATTTTTCCAATCAACGAACTTATTTCTAGGGGTAGAAACTAATAACTTCAAGAGTAGTAGGCATTGTTGGAACTTACTGATTAAAGGGTATAAATAATTCTCCATGAGAACTAAGTTATATAGTCCCTTGATAAAACAATACTATGATAAAATTATGAATTTTGAGAAGTTGGTGTTCTGGGTAAAATAATTGCTGCTAAGTAAAAAACAATAAATATAAGGTACCAGTATTTCATCTACACAGTGGTCTGTGTAGAGATAGTAAATAACTTCATGTCTTTATGGTTTAGTTTTATCATCATCATCATCATCATCATCATCATTATCAGCTACTATTGGATCTTATTATTGGGTTTTGGGCCAGACTCAGTTGCACTCAGAATTTTACTCCTTGCTCTCTGCCCAGGGATCACTAGTGGTAAGGCTCAGGGGATCATAAAGGGTACCAGAAATCAAACCAGGGTCAGCCTCATGCAAGGCAAGTACCCTGCCAGTTGTATTATCTTTCTGGCCCTATTTTTATTTAAAAGATTATCTTGAGCTGTTTCCATCATCTACTTCAGCTTTAATATTCTATTCTGTTTCTTTAGCCCTTCTTATAAAAAAAAAGAACAGAGTAAATTACATACTTCAGTGCATTTTATAGGAATGTGCAGATGTTCAACATGGAATTTAGCTCATAACAATTTATGAAAGGAAGGTCACAATAATGGTTGGTGAAAGACAGTGTGGACACTAATTCTTTATAATACTTATTAATCTTATCTTACATCTCACAGATGGAAAAGAGAGGTAGAGAATTATGGCTGGTACAGAATGAACTTTCAGAAAGTCCTTGAAACACAAAACAATTTTTCTCTCATACCTGTGCCTTTATTGAATATTTTGGAGATAAATTTTAAGAGGAGGTGATGAGGGATTTTAGTAGGTGTTTTGAAGACCTAATGAATCTATTGATCCACAGAAATCTTAACTATACAACAATTGATACTATTTCTAGGGAAAAGTACTTTTTTAGTGAAGCAAAATAATTTTTTAAAAACTTACTTAGAAAGAGATGAAGAGAAAGAAAGAGAAGAAATACATGTTCAAGAGAGAACACAGATTTT